AAAAAAATTGCGACACACACAAGAACAGTTAACGGTGATGTGTGAATGTATTGAAGATATTGAAATGTTTTTGAAGTAGACATCTTGCCTTTCGTGCGTAAAACCTTAAAAATCATTATTATTATTTTTTTCAATTTTGATCGCGAAGAAATAATTTTGGAATACATTTTTTATATCAAAATACTCTGTTGGGCACAAGGAATAAGACAAGCTATGTTGATTTGAAATCGAGTAAATTCCGTACAGTCTAATGTATATGCGACGTTTGTTTGCACGATAGTTGTGTGCGTGGCAGTTGCATCGCGATATGCTTGTCTATTGGCCGAAGCATATTCAATGCTCGCTGCTAAGCAATACTAATGCGCATAGTACTCGAAAAAAGTATTCAACATTACCCATCTCAGCAGCATGATGAAGAGGTGTCTGATTCTGAATATTTTGGATATCAACATTGGCTCCTTTACTGGTGAGAAGTTCGGCGACATTCTTGTGACCTGAACAATAACACCGATCGATGGGATAAAATCAGGTCAATCTCTTATTCAATAACAATAAGTATTCAATGTTACCTTGCATAGCAGCATAATGCAGAGGTGTCACATTTATATTATTTCCAATATTAGGGTCGGCTCCTTCAGCAATGAGGTTTTCAGCTTCCTTCACTTTGCCTGAATATGAAAAATATTCATAGATCAACGAAACGGATTGAACAAAATATTCTTTTTTTAAAAAATGTCCAAAATTACCAGCTAAAGCAGCTCTATGCAGAGCTGTCTCTCCCCTTGTGTCTTTTTCGTTTACTAAAATATGTATGAAAAGTTTAGCATAAATGAGGTTCCCATATCTTCGTTACAAGGTGCTTTGTATATGCAATTTAAGAGTTAAACTGGATAAATAAATGAAACTTCAATCTTACCGTTCCTCCCGGGTGGTGCTCCGCTCACATCACCGATTAAGAACTGTGGAAATAGAATCAAAGTGATACATTTGGAATGGAAACAACGGATGAGATTAATACATTATGTATTAATAACAATTTTCAACTGTTTTTAATTGAATAAAAGTTTCCAGTGGACATTTTTTTGGAATAGAAGTATTTTTTCAATTGAAGAACTTGAAAAAAGGACACTTTTCATTTTTTAAATTATTTCAGAGAAAATTATCAGAAATTGTCCACGAAAAATATCAAACATGAAAAATTTAAAAAAAATCGACTGAAATTGTCGACTCACCTCGGATACCATCAAGCCAATGAGCAGCAGTGTGAAAGAACTTCGACTCAGCATTTTTCTAGCTTCGAACTATTAAAAGTTTACTATGAACGTATCGATTGGTAAGAACTGTTTGATGGACGTACGAATCGAATGCATCCTCTTATATACTTTTCAAGTGTGGCCACGTCGGTTGGCATCACACTGTATGATTCAATCCACGTACAATGACGATTCTAATAAAAGTCCACAAAATATTATCGCACACATTTTTCAAGATAAAAATGTCAAACAATTGATGGAATTACAATTCCACCTGTGCACGTGTGTTTAATTTCGCGTTTCATATTTTCACGCATTGAA